ATAGGTGTCGGAACTGTGATTTTAACAAATGTGGTTTTTTAACTTCTGCTTGTACCAATCATGTTTGAGCATCTCAGGTTTGATTTTGTAACAATCTGCATGCATTCTACAAATGTTGTGTTTGTTCTTATTGACACTGCTGTGAATCACCTGCCTTTTCCTTGGTTTGGAATGATACATTTTATTCTTTGGAGATGTTCATATTTGACTTTTCAGAGAATCCTGTAGGCCTATGGTGTTAGCTGGTAGTCTTATCCTTTCGTGGAACTTTCAGTGGTTAATTTGTAAAATTCTGAGACCGTTAGTACTCAATTTGTAAAAAATCTGAAATCTTTGGGTGGCTTGTTTTGCAAAAATCTGAAACTTTGTGTGGCATAAATGTAAAAGCTGAGAGATAGGTGTTAATACAATGGGACCTTTACATGCTTACCACCTGATTTTTATATGCTTATATACCTCACACTAAAGCTCCAATATTTACAAACATGTTGTGCAATGCTTTTAGATTTTTATGCTTGCCCTCACATACATCTTCTAGTGCACCTGAAAATATTTCATTTCTCTTTTAAAACATGTGGAAGTAAAAATTTATATCTGCTTTTGAGATCTAATCCCGGAAAGCTCCTTGAATCAACAAGATGAAGTGAAATGTGTCTGCTTTCTCTTGCTTTCTGAATCGAAATGCATGATAAAGGAAATTTTGGAACATTCTTGTGATTGTCATGAAATGATAGTTGACTATTTGAAATATGTGAAATGATAGTTTGAGTTTTGATTCTAAGGCTCTCTATTATTGTTGCTTTATTCAATTAAATGCTGGAATTCATTTTAAAGCTTGATGACATGTTGATTGTAAAGATGCATGTATATTTATATGTTTCTTGTTATTTGACCCCATTCGAGACATATGTTGGCACGATATTTTGGAATATAAAACTCTAAAGGAAAATATTTTGGAAAATATTTTCTATTTTGATTTCCGGTTTAGACTCTTTTTGAAATCAAGTTTATGCTGGAAATATTTTCTGGTTTGCCCCCCTGTGCTGGGCTCGGTTTCCCCCTTTCTTTGGCTCAGTCTGGGCTTCTTTTTAGTGACTTATGTTGGTTGAAATCCCTTGTTGTTTTGGAACATTCCTTGGGTTTGGCTTGCCCATGTACTGGACTCAGTTTGCCCTTTTCCTGGATTCGGTTTGGGCTCTGTTTTCGATGATTTATATTGTCTGAAGTCTTTTATTGTTTTGGACTATTTCTGGGTTTGGTTTGCCCTTGTTTTGGACTATCTCTTATTGTAGTTTATACCTGCTTAAGGAAAGATATTCTCTTAACACAAGTGTCATCTTCACCATCATCTTCCCATGTTTTTGAGTATGTTGAAAGTTTTATTATGACGTTGTCATCTGGGTCATCTTAATTTTTCATTTAATTGCAAAATTGTGTCTATAGATGTTATTTTCTTTGAAAAACAAGTCCTCCTACCCAAATATGAAATTCAAGAGAAGTCTAAGTGAATATCAGATTTAGGACACTACTTTGGATACCCACATTGTTCATCACAATCTATTCTACTTCCCTCTAACCATCATGTCTCTAAAATTTCAACACTTGAAGATATCCAACAAGAGATTGATAACAAGGACATGCACGAGAAACTTTGACAAAGAAATCCACTAAACAGGATAAAGACAATATGCAACAACAAGATTGTTCACAGCCAAATCTGAATTCAGACATCTCCGTAGTTCCATGGAAGGTGAAATCCAGTGGAGACTCCAAAATAAAATGGGATAGTTGAGAAGAAGAATAGACATCTCCTCGAGGTATCTCGATCTATAATATTTTCTCACAGTATCAAAAAAGTTTTCCGTAGAGATGCGGTGCTCACAATCACTTGCCTCATTAATAAAATACCAAACTGGGTCCTCAGATTCAAAACCACACTCAATGTTTTGATGGAAACATACCCTCATGTTAGAGCATTCTCATCCAATCAACCTCAAAATATTTAGTTCTCTTTTATTCACATTCACTAATCAAATCACACAAAACTTGACCCAAAAATTCATTAAATGTATTTTCGTTGGTTATACTTCTAACAAAAAAGAGTAGAAGTGCTACTCTCCCAGTACAAAAATACTATAACTCATGGATGTTACTTTCTTCAAAAAAAATACTATTATCCCAAATATGAAATTCGAAAGTCTGAGTGAATAACAGATTTAGGACACTACTTTAGATACTCACATTGATCTAGAATCATCTGGATCAATTCTACTTCCCTCTAACCATCATGTCTCTCCCAAATTTCACCACTTGAGTATATAAACTTGAGATTGACAATAAGGAAATGCACAAAAAACTTCATGTGCACACTAGGAAAAAGAAATCCATTGTTCACAACCAAAAATTTGAATTCGCACATCTTCGTAATTCCAAGAAGGTGAAATCCAGTGGAGAAGACAGGGAAAGTTGCATAAATTATCCTATATCCAATATTAAGTTGCCTATGGGAAGTTATCATCTAATAAGTTTTTGCTATCTAATCTTGATAGTGTGCAGATACCCAAGTCTATTAATGAAGCACTTCAAAATAAAAAATAATAAAAGACAGTTGAAGATGAAATTCAGGTACTTAATTTAAAGAATACACATGAAATAGAATAGTGGAAATTGCATCAACTTGATATAAAGAATGCATTTTTGAATAGAGATATGGAGGAAGAAGTGTATATGGAGATCCCACCATGAATTGAAAATAGCTCAAATAAACAACTTGTTTGTAAACTATGAAAGTCACCATATGACCTCAAACAATCTCCACGAGCTTGGTTTGACAAGTTTGCTAAGACTATGAAATCTAATAAGTACATCTAATGCCAAGCTAATCATACATTGTTCATAAAGCATATAAGGGTAGGTAAAAAAGCTATACTCATTGTATATGTAGATGATATAATCCTAACAAATGATGATGAGAAAAAGATTGGGAATATCAAGGAAGTTCAACAATACCATTGAATTTAAAATCAAGGATCTAGGAGCTATGAGATATTTTTTTGGCATGAAAGTGGGAAAGCCCAACATAGAATTTGTGATATCCCAAATAAAGTACATCCTATACATAATAAAAGAGACAGGAATACTGGGGTGTATACCTCTTGAGACCCATATGGATTTCAACAAAAAATTATATTTAGGAGAAAAAAACTGTATTAAAAATAGACATCAGATATTGATAGACAAGCTTATCTACATATCACACTTGGCATGATAACGCTTATTCTGTCACAATTGTGAATCAACATATGAATAATACAAATGAGGAACATTTGAAGATGATTTACAAAATATTGATTACTTAAAAAACCCCTCGTAGAGAGTTATTGTTTAAGAAATCAAACATGAAGATAGAAACTTACACTGATGTTAGTTGAGCAGAAGAACTCACAGACATAAGTTCTACATCTGGGTATGGTTCCTATGTATGGGAAAATCTTGTCACATAGAGGTGCAAAAAGCAAGCGTTGGTCTCTAAAAGTAGTGCAAAATCTGAGTGTCGAGCACTTGCTTTAAAAATTTGTGAAAGAATGTGGATCCAAAGATTACTAAATGAGTTGAAATGCTCCACAATCAAACCCAAAAAGATGTTCTCTGACAGTGAAACTGTCATTTATATTGAAAATAACTCTGTGCATCATGACAAGACCAAACACATTGAGACTGATAGATATTATTTCTCTAAAAAGATCAATGGTGACATTATTCACTTAATCTATATTTCAACTCATCTTGAAGTGAAACATATTTTCACTAAATCCCTACCTCCATGCAACTTCAATGATTTAAATACCAAGATGAGCCTTTACAATATATATGACCCAACTTGAGGGGGAGTGAAATTTTGTCCCTGTTAGTTGTCCTAGACCACTTGTCATATAGGCCCCACAAGATCAAATTATGGAAATTATTGGAGCAAGTTTTCTATTTCAATTTTATTCCTTATTATATTTCCTATTATATTGTATGGCTTTCTTTTATTTTTTTGTTTTGTATTTGGTAAATCGTAATAACCTTAATTATGCTTGCTCTAAACATTCCCTACCTAATAAGGAGAAAAGTTGTAATTTGAACACTATGGAATAAGAGAATATAGTTTCATCGTTTTAAATATGATAATTCTTTTGAAGACGATGAAAACAAGGAATGAGGTCAGTATGGATATTGAACCTTTTGGAATATATAAATTTTAAGTGAATGTTTACCTGGAATTGCAACTCAAACTTTTATTTTATATTAATATTGAAAAGTAAAATTTGTTGTTTATGTCTTTATGACAATAAACCAAATCAACATATCAATGATTTATCATATTTATGATTTAATTCTAATTCAGATTGCTTTTTTTCAAGGCTTACGTCTTGATCAGTCTCAAGATTAACGTCTCACCTCATTAAGGCAAAATACCTTAATTCATGATTTCAACTTTTAATACTTTGAGCACACATGTTTTAAGCCATTCTCAAAGAACTAAGATTTGGCAAGAAGCTACATGTATCCTGCTCTCAAACCATGTATTACTGTCATAACAAGAATCAAATAAAACTAAACTATGCAGAAAGTTCAGCAAACCTTCTCCAAATGGCAATAGAGCATTAAATGTAACATTGCATGTGAGATGACAACTAAAAAACCTACATGGAATCAATGTTCACAAAGGAATATTCGAGGGAGAAAATACTAATGGGCAAATTCATGTGCCATGTGACATATAAAAATCAGTCATGTTCGATGATAATAGTACAAAACGCTTGCCATGCAAACAAAAGCACCAATCAAACGTGCATTGGAACAATGCAATTCAGTGACTCACTAAAAAGAAAACAAACTATACAAACAGATAGTATTCGTCCCGGTGAAAAGTTTCATCAAAAACTCGAAATAAAACTTATAAACTGAAATCAAGAAGACATGAAGTGACAAGTCACAGAGGAACAACAACTTACCTGGTTAAATCCTGCTTTGAATTCGTCCATCTGCCGCATAATTCCAGTCCTAAGTGTAGCAGCAACCACCAAACTAATGTATAATTCCAGGTTATCAATATTAACCTACAAACAAGTACCAGAAATAATATAAGCATAATGCCAAAGCAGATGAAATATCACTGCAGGTCCAAACTTTACCACCGTGCTTTCTTCTCCTTCTTGAAGAATATAATCAGGATAACCAGGAAGGGAAAAGTCTAAACACAGATCTTCAATCGGAGCACCACGGAAACAAAGATCATTAGTCACCCTCTGATTGCCTCTCCCAGAAGTTTCTAGAAGCTTTTTCCTGCTAACAATGATCTGCAGCTCTTGCAAAATCTTCCCAAACTCGGTATCAAATGAAAGAATGTCATACAAATCAAGCTCCTGTAACAGCATAGAAAAACACAAATCAAAATCCCAGCAACAATATCACAGAAGGGATTATAATAACATAGAAATATAAAATGTGTATTCAATATCCAGTAACATACTTGACCAAGCACAAACTTATAAAAGGTTGTCGATAGTGGCAGGTCCAGGAGCCGGCCATCTTGTAAAGCTTTTGCCATCACTCTACCAAGCAAGCGAAAATATCCGAGGACTTTCGAAAAATGGCTACCCTCAGAAGCATCAGCATTAGGAGGCCATGGACGAGGAAACAATCCGAGAGGAGCATGAATAAAATCTCTACTTTGAGTAAAAGCCATAGAAGCTGTATTCTTTTCATCAGAGACATCATCTTTGTTCACTTCCTTCACTTCATGTCCATCAATTTCCATTGCAGATGTCTCAAATGATGAGTTGGATCTCCATAATCCAAGTCCAACCTTTTGAAGATCATGACTTAAAAGAGTATAGAACTCAAGGGTGGGACCTAATCCAGTGCCAACCTCACCAAAATATTCCACTTCAAGAACAGTTTTTTGGCTTGAGTACATCTCCATAACTTTTGCGGCAGACTCCAATATGCGATTCCTTGAAACCCGAACCTTTTGCCGTTGCAATCTACCAACACGGACCTCTCTTTCACTGGTGACACTAGTATTTTCAGCATTTTGCTGATGTTGTAGACGATGCAAAGCACGAGATATTCCAAAGGCAGTAGAATAGAAAAATTGTCTCCTTGTCTCAAACGGAAAAAGAAAAGGGCAAGCTTTTGTCAGTTGATAGCACCAGGAAGGAAGACTACCACTACACAATGCAAGAGGATCTCGGATTTGCCGTACAAGCTTTGGGGTTAACTTGTTATTGATGTATTCTTGTGGAAGAACTCTGGTACCAGGTGTGTATAGTTCATCCAGAGTAGAAACCATTCCATCAGCATACTCATCAGCCACTTTTTGAAATCTAAGACGAGGAGCTAGTTGATTTAAACCCTCCAGCACACGCAATAGTGCCAAAATGTTGTACGTGGGGCTTGATTTCTCAATATCACAAGGAAGCTCCCCATGTAAGATGCTATCAAGAAGAGATGATTGCTTCCACCTGGTGTCTGAACCCGAATTTGAAGCAGAACCAGATTTTAAAGACTTGTCAAAGGAAGATGACCCTCCTTGAGCTGGCCCATCTGACTGATTATCTGCCTTCTTGTAACTTATAGTGAAAACATCACTCAAAATTCTGCTTCCATCAGTTGGCACAAATTCAGGCCTATTTAACCTGTCATCTTCATCCTCATCCAGCATAAGTTGGCGTTGGATAGCCTGATATATAGTCATCTGCTTGCTAAGCTGTTTACTGCCAACTGTGAATATTAACTTATTGCACTGCTCATGAGCGCTACTTCCATGTGGAAATCCACGACGATCCCTACCAGCTCTGATTCCTCTACCACTTACAGATGCCAGCCCAGCCATGGCAGCAGCAGCAAATGACATTGCACCTCTTGAGCTAAAAGCGCTTATGTTTCTAAATTCAGTGAAATCTGAACCTCTCGCTTGTGCAATCCTATTTGCAGAAGCAGAAAGGTTAGTATGAACATCACTTGCTGAAGGAATATTTGCCGAATCATCAGCAGAGTCTCCTAATCTCACATCATGCACTTTATCAGGTGTACAAACAGGAAGAGAATCGTCTCTTAGGACCTGAAATAAAAAAAGATAACGAGACTATTCATTCCAAGAAAGCACATGAAGGAATAAGAAAAAGGCAAAAAACTAGATAAGTAGCTTGTTAAAACCTATGCTTCTCAACATAGTAACCAATTCAACAAAACCAAAAATATAAAATCCAAAAAATATGAACTTCTATTCAAACATAAATCAAATCATTGACCAAAAACACACAGCACTCTTAAATATCATTGAGTGTGAAACAAAAATAAAAACAAAGTTACCTCATCATGATCATCCTCTTCGTCATCTGAGACATCATCTTCTTCAATCATTAGAGCATCATCAATCTCAACAGGAGACATATCCAAGTTGTCATCCTGCAATTAACAAAAGACATTTTCAATGGTGAATGATGCTACACAATAAAACAAGTAAATAGTATGGTGAATGTAAGACAAAAATGGCACTCCACCTTATTAAGCCAGGACTAACGCTTTCAGTAATATCCACAAATAAATATCAAATTAAAAATAGCTAGGACCAAGACTTCATGGAAACTTCAAAAGCAGTGCTAATAACAGTTAGCAATTCATCTTTGCAAAGAATAAATCAATTTTGAAGTTTAAAACAAGGACAGGGATAACTAGGTAAGATAGACAAAAAAGGGAAGAGTCGTTGCTTATTAGTGTATGACATGAAGAACAAGCACTAGGAAAACAGCAAATATAACAAATTGGGCAGTAGGCGAAAACTTCTTCGGAGTGAACTAACAGGGGACTGAAACATCATTGGTCAAAGTAAAGTCATGTTCAACAAAAAAATAATTCTATGGGTGAGACCCAACAATTTGGCATTTCCCCACAAATATAAATTACAATTACTTGACAAGAAACAAACACTATTCTTACGAGCCTTAGTAATATCCCCCTCACATGAGAGCTCTCCAGATCAGCCATCACTCCCATTAAATGGGAGCTTTTAAACACCACCAAGTCACTCCCATTAAAGGGAAAATTTTTAACACCATCATGTAACGTGCACCAAGTGCCCATTCAACCAAAAAGCTTCATGGAAGTTGCTCACTCTGAGCATTGCTCAAGCATGATAGAGAATCAAATACACATTGGAACCATGAGCCATATGAACTACTGAATTCAAAATGATTGACTTTGACAAAAGAAAAATAAAGGGCGATATACCAATGGTTAGAACCATTTTCAACCCAAAAGTTTAAACATATAAGAAGGAATGAACCACTTGGTATAAGAGAGTGAACCACTTTGTATTCATACATCAACAAAATTTTCAACTCTCTGACGTGAGACTAAAAGTGTCGCATTTCTCTAAAACGCACCATAAATAAACTAACAAAATCATGATACACTTTCTATGTTTTCTAAAAAAAATTAGGCAAATTCATCAAGAACATTTTGGTTGAGATTCTATTCTCACACAATACCTCATTTTCTCTAACTCAACATCCACTACTTGAATCTCACACAATATCTCGTGGCTTGTTTCTATAACTTAACGTTTTAAGTATGGGATGTAAAAAATCACCTGCACACTCCTACAACTTCTTTAAATGTAAACATGCATATAAGATTTGATGGGATCCATAGTGGCAATGATACATTTGCATGGAAAAATAAAGAAACAAAACATCATGCTATGCTCATAAGGGTAGCAATAATGTTATACAAGAGGGGAAAACAATTAAAAAAAACATATTAAGGTTGGTAATAATGTTAAAGATGAGTACAAAACATTAAAAAAAACACGTGATCTCAAAGCATATTTTATAAGACAAGTTTAATCATAGAGAAACCTTTTTCATGACTCATTAACACACCGCATGACAATAGCATTTGATCTATAGTTTTATGTAAGTCCACATATTATTAAGGAATTAACCAACAACAACGGGAAAATAAATTATTATTAATGAAAGCAAATGAGTTATTACAACTGAACACAATTCAAAGCGAAAAAGCAACAAGCACAACACAAACGCGGTTAAAGTTGTATCACAAAGGGTTGGTGGTCAGTTTGGTGGAGTAGAAGGGTGGTCGTTGGCTGCAGGAAGGAAGGCAGAAGGTTGTGGTTGGACAGCAGAGGAAAAACAGTAGGGGCAGGGGTGGCTAGTGGCTCAGATATTAACTGGTGCAAAGGGTGCAGCTGTTGGAAGACAGCAAGGATAGCTGCCCGGCGGCTGGAGGGCAAGGTGGAAAAGGGCGACTATAGCAGGTGCGGCAATGGCGGTAACGGTGGGAAGCTTGCAGCGTAAGGAAAAGTTGATGATAGTTGACAACTTGGAATGAGACAGTCCGAGCGCCATTTGCCCTTGGATGCAGCCCTAGCACCACTTGCCCTTGGATGCAGCCGTAGTCGGAGCACCACTTACCCTTAGATACAGCCCTATATAGGGTTGTAAATGAGCCGAACTAGAGTGAGCTAATGGCTTATTCGTGTTTAACTCGTTTAAATTATATTTTGTTCACGTTTGGCTCGTGTTCGAAATAGCTCGTGAATCATTTGTTCGTGTTCCGCTTGATTCGAACTCATTTGTTCGAATTAAGCGCATGCTCAACTTGAATTTCAACTCGAACTAAAATTTCAAAAAATATTTTTTTTATTTTAAATATTTTCAATTGAACTGAAAATAAAATATATTTCTACTACACAAAAAATCCCAAAAAAGTGCTTAAGTGAAGCTAAATACTTATCTCTCACTTTCTTATTGCTTTTATATAGGATCAATGATGGAGCTTTTCTCAATGTAGTGATGAGGGATAAAAATCACAAAACTAAAAGGAGAGAAGTTGGGGTGGGCAATGCAAGTAGACTTTAGAGGCATTTACATACAGAACACTCAATTCTTATGCATTTACATATCTAACACCTAAATGTTATTTTTTTAAAATGTGATGGTTATTTACATGCATACCACCCAATTTTTATGTATTTACATATCTAACATCTAATTTTTCTTTTTTACTTTTTTTATAAAAAAATTAATATCATTTGATTAACTGTTATATATTATTTATTTATCATTAAGTTAATTCGAGCCAAAACGAACCGACCACGATCGAACAAAGGATTGTTTGTGTTCTTCTCATTTATAAATCGAGCTCAAAAAAAATGTTCATGTTCGGCTCGTTTGCTTACCAAACAAATTGAACACAAGCTATTTAGCGAGTCGAACGCGAGCTGTTCACGAACAACAAACTTTTTTGACACCCCTAGCACTAAAGGAGGAAAACAGAGACATTGATGACTGTCCCGACAAAAAACACACCTAAACTCATCTCCAAACCCTAATACAATACATATATAGAGAATAACTGGAAAGAAATGAAAGAAAAAAAAGAAATGTGCCGAAAATTAAAAATAAATCAAAAGAAAAGTCGTTCAGTTCGACTCTGCCTATTCGTGTGAATCTCGAGATCATGGGATTGCGAGACCTCTGACTCCTGTGTCTTCCTATATGACTCCCGCATCTGCTTATATGATGCCAGCGTTAGTATCTCGAAGTTGGGGGAGCTTGATTTTATCCAGCAAAGTTTTTGACGCGTCATAGTAGTCAGATCGGCCCCGGTGAAAGTAGAGGAAATGTTACAATTTCTTGGCAAGTCAATTATGTAAGTGTTGTCATTCCAAAGCACATCCTGATAGAATAAATATATATCATCTTTTGGCACAACCTCAGTAGGGGTAACTTAGGAGGTAGACTATGATGGTTCAATACTTCATCCAATGCCAATCTCTTAAAATTATTGCCCACGCCCATAATAGAAGGCCTGAACAAAATCCAAAAGATTTTAAAAAAAAAATAGTGATTCCCTTTTGATGTAAACAAACTTCACAAAAAAACAAAAAAACAAAAACAAAAAAAAACCCTACAAATATCCAATAATAAAACTTTAAATTAATGATAATTTCAATAGAAATTATCCTTACATGGATTTGATTTCCGAGACGAACTTATTCAAACAACTTCAAAATTCAAACTCATCAATATCATGTTGTAACCTGAATTTTTATCCAGCAGTCCAAATTTCCTGCCTCTCGATCTTGATCATCTAAACTTCAGTTGATGATATATCTTGGTTGGTAGACATTATAGCAATATTATCTTTGATCTCAATAATGTTATCGAAAAATCACATTCCATCAATCAATTGAATGGTTAAAACTAGAACGAGCACATCTCAACTATCTTTTTACATGATCGGATGTCCAAATAGTGAATATAGATGATATGATCGATCATCTACTAGGTATATCCTCATATCACAAAAAAAGCTAAAAGCCAACCAATCAATCATAAATATAAACAGAATTAAAACTGTCATCATGCAAGTTATAGATGCTCCGATTGTGAAAAAAAATAGGTCAGAAATATAAATCACCTAGAATAAAGCACGGAGGAACCATATGACTGGAATTTAAAGAGCCTAACTAGAATCACCATGTCACGAGATTAAAAATAAATAAATAAAAAATTTTAGGCGATGTCATCAATTACATCACATTTATGGTGCGATTGTAAAAAATGCAAAAGACAGGACAAATTATGGACTCCAATCTCATCACAAAAAGACAAAACATAAGGTATGCAGATTGTTATTATAGCACGGCGTGCAACCATAAACAGATGTCCAAAAATATATCATATCATGACAGATATGTTGTAACACAAAATGTAAGAGCAGCATGATCATCACCATATTTTGCTCAACTTCAAATCTCCAATAATGGGGTAAAGTGTAAGCACAGCGACCCGAAAAAAAAATAAATAAATAAATAAATAAGACAAATGACATAAATAAAATTCATTATAAGCGGTTTTAATTCAGTGAACCCTCATCCCAAATCAAATATTTGCTGCCATATGTATTGTCTGAAAAAGCTTATTTGGAATTAGAATAGCAGTAAAGCATTCATTAAACAAACCTCCGAGTCAGAGTCACTATGTGCAGCTTTCATTTCAGTGTCTTTTTCTGAGTCTGCTTTTCTGCGGGCTGCATTTCTTGTTTGCGATCCTTTACCATCATCAAGTGTGGATTTCACGACAGCTTTACCCTTTCCTTTTAAAGGGTTTGCATTTCCCTCAGAAGATTCCTTTCCTGTAGTACCTCCAATGGTTACTGATGACCAAGATCTAGTAGTAGGACGACGACCTGAAGAAGTTGATGTGCCTAAAGATGAAACATTGCTGCCCCCTACAGCTGAAGCACCAGCATCAGGAGTTCCAGCTGATGCCGAAGTCCTCTGTATTGGGTCACTCCTTTGGATCCTTGGCCAAAGAAACTCTTCAACGGCTGCTAAACTTGCCAGAGGATCAATGAGCACAATATTTGAAGAGTAATCACGTAGAGACTTTTCACCCTGTGCTCTACATAAGCGCAACTTGAAAGGCTGTGACAATGCACTCAAACCAGACGAAAGGCGAGCACTTCCACCACTAGAAGATCTAGAAGGATGGCTAAGTACAACAGGAAATCGTTCCAACGAAGATAGAGCACTTTGAAGTTTTTGAACCAAGATATTCATAGGAACTTCATTCTGTTCCTTGATACCAACAGGAAGGGAGAGGCCTATGAAAGACCTGTACCTCCTAAGAGCTAGCTGACGGAGGTTGGGCAGGTTCGCCTCTGAGACTCTTTCTTTTCCAAATGTTCCACATGAAAAATAATTCAATAAAGCCAGTACAACACCACTACCAATGAACTCAAAAGTTGATACACCATTGTCTTTACTTAGTTCAGTCAGCATCTCAGAAACTACATTATCCAACTCCCCTTCTGTACTTGCCGAAGTATCAAATACACGGGCCACGGAGGCCTTAGATTTTCCCTTGGCTCTCGTCTTCGCTTCATCATTACTAGCAATCAATTTTGAAGAAAGACATTTCAAACGAAGAAGATCCTCAGTAATGCCAATTTCAGTTGCCCCAGGAACAGCAGGAAAGTGTTTGTCTTTGAAAGCCTTGGCGAACTCACCCACTGCTGATCTAATGCTGTTATTGGCAGCAGAAACCTCTGGCAGTGCTGATGACCAACCTGTTCCAGCTGTTGAAGCTTTTGCCTCCAACAAACCACCATCAGTGTTCAGTCCACCGCTCCGCCTTTGGTAGCGTCGAGAACGTGATGATGTGCCAGGCACAGAATCAGTGTCCTTCTCAGGAAATAATGACTGAGTTGTAGTATTTGAAGAAACTGAGCGGATGAGAGAATCGACAGCATGGACAACTCCTTCTCTCACAAACGTTTTGGCAAAAATTCCTGGAAGCTTGTCCATAAGAATCTCTGCAATCTGAAGGGTAGGGATCAGCACATTTGGGTCTTTCCAAGCCAAAACTCCTGCTAAGAAGCTGCAAGATTAAACAGAATGAGCATCCAGTAACAAAACAAAGTTTCTATATCACTCGTAAAGTGACAGTATATACTCAAAAGTAGACAAGAACCTTGATATGTTTGTTGTACCAAGTAAAGATCGGATCATATCCGCTGAGCTGAAGTACATAAGTTTCCCGATGACTGAAAGACAACGATGTCGAATAGGACCATTTACACTGGAGCCATATACCTGTCAAATAAGCAAGAGAACAACAAAAATTGATGCAACTATGTTAAAAGCAAAGCAAGCCAACTTCATTAACCAAAGGACGGTTATGTAGACCTACAAAATAGCTTGGCAGATACAAACCTGAGTCAAGATGGGCAGCAGGTCCAATCCAAATTGCTGAAAGAGTTCAGGTTGATCTTGCAATAATTTCTCATGAGGAGAGGGTTCATTCTTTGAACCATCAGTCTCATCCTGCTTCCCAGAAGAACTACCAGCAATTCTCTTTCCAGCTGATCCTTTCACAAGAACATTGGAGTAACTCGGGAGGGAAACAGTTCCTTGGGGCAGTGGAGGAAGAAGCTCATCCGCAAGATTAACTATCTCATAAACCTGACATACACGATACACGTTAGTACACATGCTTAAGAAGCCTAAAATGCCCTAATATGCAAAAGATATAATAAGCTACAACAAGCATTGCAACGTAAGCATATAGAAGACTATCATTTTAGCACTACAATACCTGTCGCCAACATATCTAGCTAAGTAGTACTCAATATAGCAAGCAATTACAACTCTAAAGTGACATCTAACACCAAACCCCCGTAAAGCACATCGAGCAACCTTCCATCACACCCATTTCTCCTCCATTTTCTCTCCCATAGCCTACTAACATAGCCTCTACCATCATTGTTTACAATTGTGTAATCTAAGGCCCGCCTCAATGCAGGTTAGAAAAAATAAACTTCAAGGCGTGCGCCTCGAGCAACTCAAGCGAAACATATGTCTCACATTAATTGAGGCGCACCTCGGCTCAATTTAGCTGTGTGCACCACTCACACTTATATTTTTCCCCTTCTATTAGATGGTTTGGATATGAACTGAATCTGCACTCTCTCAGGCAAGAGTTCCCCTCTCCATAGTCAGGCTTCTTATCATCACCACCTACCGCTTCTATTGTCAGCGTCGTCGCTTCTACCACCACTTACTAGTTCTATCATCGACGTCGTTGTTGTTGTCGTCGCCGCCGCTTGTTGCTTCTACTATAGCAGTCATATGTTTCCACTATAGTAGTCGCTTAATTCTGTTATAGCACGTCGCTCTTGTTGTACTCACCGCCATCTACTGCACTTGTTGGCGTTGTTGGTGCCTACTGCTCCAACTTTTAATTATTTATTTTGTTCTTATTTAGATTTATGGATGTGATCATGTTTGTTGAACAATGTGAGTGAGAGAAGTCTTCTATGCTAAACTCATCTTATATCTTTGATCATGTTACTTTCATTTCATGTTTTATGTTTGTTTAAAGACTTGATTAGTTCATGTCTACACTATATTTTTATTTTGTGCGAGTTGTTGTGTGATATATGCAAATTTTTCATTCATAAAAATGCCATGCCATTCTTTACCATGCTAGAATTTTAATATCTTATATATATATATATATATATATTTATTATTATTTTTTTTATTTTATTTTTTTTTTTTTTTTTATTTTTTATTTTTTTTTTTTAAATGAAGTAAAAAAAGTGA